ATATATCACGAATGCACTTGCTCTGATTTCTTACACTTTCTATTGTAAATTAAAATTGAAGCTCCGCGCCGTGATGCTAAAAGATGTAGAAGTTGTCGAATTGTATGTTTTTGTTGAAAAACATAAAAACAAATTCTAGGTCTAAATAAAAATGTCGCTGCTTGGCCAGAGCTCCAAAAATAAATTTCACTGAAATGGCGAGGGCTCTAAGAGGCGTGCACCAGGTTCCCGTGCCTGTCCGTCTGTTCGGCTATTTGCCCGTTCGCCTGCTCCGTTATTACGGTTCTCTTAAGTATTTATGTGTGTTTATACATATGTATGTTCATGTACAAATCACACGCTGGCGCCGACAATTTTCGATCGAATATTTGGAGAGGTACTTGTGTGTATGTGTGTGTACCTATGTATATACATACATATGTGTGTGTAATATTTGCATAGATATTTGCTATACATTTTCTTTTACCCTCCACACGCATTTCCGGTTCCAGCTCCTGCCATACGTAAGCAATTTTTTTTATGAAAAAGTGTCAGCAATGTGCATTTAACTTGTTCAAATATAGTTCTACGTGTATACATACATATATGGCCCATGTATAACAATAGTACAAATAGCTTAGAAAAATACCTACGTCTACACGCGGACAACGGATAGCTGAGTGCAGCGTGAGCACGGGGAGACTGGGCTCGAAGATGGCCCGTATATTACATGCTCATGTTGATTCGATAATTCTACGTCGCTCTTGAGGAATTTGTTTTATATTTAGAATCTTTGAGTTCTTACTCTGAGAAACAATCGAAATATTTGTATGTGTAAATAACATGTATGTATGTGCAAATATCTAATTAGACGGGTAAGATTGTGTCTCATAATTGGACGTTTGCTATGCAACACTTAATTCTTATGTTTGCTTATGTATGTCAATAAAAAATGTTACGCAAAGAAATACCTCGTCATTGTTATATATTTTTATTTATTGTTACGCTTTATTATCTGCGATGTTTTGACCATGTTCCCACTTAAAAGTTTGTTTATATGCTTTATAATATTACTGTTAGCCGGTCACATTGTTCCTTGGTTATTTCCAGTGTTGCCAATTTTTGTTGAGCAAAAAAGCTGTTTTTAGTGGGAAAATACTTAAAATTTTGTGAAAAAAAATCGGAAAAAACTGATGTTTTTTGCTTTGAGTTGATTGATATTTAAATATATTTTTAACAACTTATAATCATGGCATCATTTTTTCAACCACCGCAAGCCGTATCTGTGAAGTTTTATAATATATATGTTTTACCTGATGCTTGAAATTTAGTTAAGCATCACAGTATTGATCTGACGAAAAATGTTACCCACTTGGGCATTGGCAAAGAAA